GCTGCCGCTGGGCCTGGAGCCCGGCGGGGCCTCCTGCGACGGCCGCTGCTCCCTCGCTTCCTGGGCCCGCGACTGCGCTTCTGCAAAGTCGGAGGGGGGGACTGGCCCCCACCATAGTCCCGTGTAGGGTCCGCCAGTGCGTAGAGTTGGGGTGCGCGCCCCTCCCGCTATAACTTCAGTGGGCAAGGAAAACATCCTTGGTCAGCAAGAATCCACAGCTTCCCTAAACTGACCGGCACTGCAGACTCGCGGATGCGCGGGGACACGACGAGCACCCGTTTAAGCACCTTCCCAGCCGGCCCCTCTTCTGCATGGGTGACTCCAGGGTCGAAAGTGTTTTTATTCAACACGTTTATTGCATGCCTAATACATGGCAGGATCTGGGAGGAGTAAGCGATAGAAGCAGCTGAGGTCAAAACGCCCTGACAGGCCAGGGTTACAACTGAGTGAAGAAACTTAAAGCAGATGATCTGTGAAGGGTATGGTGTAAAATTGGGGAGAAAGCCATAGAGCAAAAAGTCCTACAAAACCCAAGGCTCCCATTTAATTTACACCACAACTAAGTGCTGAGGGGTTGGGGCTTTATTTTTACTGTTTTTTTTTTTTTTAATCACTCTTATTCAATATTTGAATGGTCTGAGTTTTGTGGACTTATAAAATGTCGACACATGTTTTGAAAAAGATACTAAGAGGACTCACATTTCATTCTAGTGCACGTTTATGCCAGGGTTTAAAGTCATTGAGATGTTAGTAAAGAAAATAAAACGTTTTTTAAGAGAGATTTTTGCTATAGGGCGCATACGCTTACCAGAGAGAGGGAGATAGAAAATGAGAAATCACCTCCCAAGGGGGATGGCCACACCACAGTCCCTTCAATCCCTTTAACCCCTCCTCATGCATGCAAATCACATGAGTTTTAAGACACTGGATCCAGGACTTGAACCACGGTTGACTATGTGGGAGTCTAGTGACATAGGCATTATGCCCCTTGCTTGTCCTGAGAAAACAAAACTTACTGTGGACATAATAAGGTTCAAATCACTGTTCTGTGAAATTTCCTGTGATGTAATATGTAGCATTCCAGAGACTACACTCATTCTATCAATTTTCTCCACTGTGGGGAGTGGGACAATTGGGGTGAGGTATTTTAGTCATCTACCCTTCCTGTCTTACCCACCCCAAATGCTGCTATTCCTGCGAAGTTTACACAAGCCCTACATCTTCCATGGAGCTTCGTTTTACTTTTCTAGTTAAATGATCTCTCTCTTCCCCATGCTAGTTAAACGATCTCTCCCTTCCCCATAAAGGGAATGAAACAAATATAAGTTGAAAAACCACAAAATCATCATTATCTCACATGATATGATTGTACAAAGGGAAAACCTAAGAAGCTATTCAAAAATTACTAATAAGAAAATTCGGGGCCAGCCCCACAGTTCAGGGGTTAAGTCCTGGGCATAGAAACCGATCCTGTGTGGCCAACCGCAGTTAAGAGCCCAGCCCTGGGGCCAGCAGGTGGGTAAGGTGCTGGATTCCCACGTGGCACACCGCAGTTTGAATCTCAGGCCTGGTATCTTGAAAATCATGCTGGGAGCATGTGCCTATGTGCCCCAAATCCCAGGCCATCCTCCCTGCAGGGGCGGGATGATTCTCTTTCTGTCTCTGTTTCTTTCAACCCACCCTATGGCAAAAACTTTTTTTTTTTTGGAGAGTTTTTTTTTGCTATAGGGCACATGCGCTTGCCAGAAATCACCCCCCAGGGGGGATGGTCATGCCTCAATCCCTTCTCCTCCATTCTCCTCTC